CACTTCTTAAACTAAACAACACACACACACACACACACACACACACACACACACACACACACACACACACACACACACACCAGAACTGAAGCCCCTAGAACCTGAAGTGCTAAAACAGCTTTAGACAGCAGTAGCCTCCTTTGGAAGCACAGAAAGAAGATTTTCTTCATTTTAGTTTATTCAACTAGTTCAGTTCAATGACAAATTCGCTGGATTTAAGAAACCCCTGGGGAGTTGACCAAGCAGGGTCCCTATACCCTATATCACTCCCGTACCCCTATATCACCCGGGGGGTGACTGACCGACCCGAACCTCCATGCCCAGCACTCTCTGCCCTCCACACCTGGCCAGGCCCCTGGGGATGGACCCGCCTCTCTTGGTACCTGGTGCCATGTCTTCCTGAGCCAACACGTGTGTGTGGAGGGGGGGAGATACAGGGTCACATGCCTCCTTCCAGATTTTTGCCAGGGTTCACACCAGAACATAGCCAGGAATAGCTTCAGTTATCTGAGCTGGAACTCAGAACAGCAAACAGAGATGGCACAAGAGGATTTCTCAAGATATAACGAACCATCTTAAGAACTCTGCCTCTGAACTCAGGACTGTCACGGACTCACATGCCGTGCCCACTCTTGGCCCCGTGTGGTCCGTGGGGGGAACCCCCTTCAGTGAGACAGCCCTTCTTGGGGGTCCACTCTCTCTCGGGGGTTAAGCCCCTCCACCTCCTGGAACCGCACCTCTCAGAGTCTTAGCACACCTGTTTCTCGTCATGGGCCCCCACAGGGAGTTCACTCACTCTGGACCCCCGGGGCCTCCACTCGCAGAGGGAATAATGCAACCTGTTCTCTAGTCCGGAGCAACTCTCAGCCAGCGTAAAACAGGAGGGTTTATTGGGAGTTGAACACAGCACAGGAAACTCTCAGGGCCTCAGGCCTGGCCTCCCTCAGCACAGTACATCTAAGTCTCCCCTGCATCCAGGTGGCCTCTGCCTGCTCCCCCTCTCCAGTGCCAAGCCCCCCGTGCTTTCCAGCTGAGATTAGGGTTACAGTTTTCTCTGACCAAAACTTTGACTCCACTGTGTCTTCTAGAGAAGTTTGCAGCTCCATCAGATGCACAAGCAGCCATCTGTTTGGGGTTCAATTGACAAGCATTTAACTCTTCTAAGATGTCACAGATGCAGCCAATGTGTCTTCTATAACCTGAACATCTAGAATGCATCTACCGGCCTACCACAGACATCAAGATAACGTACACAAAGTCTTAATACTTGATGCCCATTTGCATCAGTGCATTCATCAGCCATGTATGCCCATATTTTGAATATGGTGGGAGAGTTCTTCACTTTTTCCACTGCTGAGTCTTTCACTGGTGCACCGCATGCTTCTAGAGAGTCAGTTGAGTTTCTTGCAGAAAGATAGCGAGCATTTCCCAGTCTCGTTCGAAACCAATGTCCAACTTCAGGATGAACAAGTGACAATGAACTTAACATTGGCTTCCAGTTTGCAGTGTGTGGTATCTCTTACTTAAATAGAAAGTATGATGTGACAGCCATGTTAGTTCGCATAAACTGTGTTGTGTCTCCAGCATTCTTAACAGCCTCATTAAGTTCTTCTAAAATTGGCTTTGACCCTTATTGATTTATAAGGCTTTCTGCATTTTGATGCAGTCCAGCGGTATGGTGGTTTGCAGCCTTTTCATATAGGTTGCCAGTATTGGCTTAGCTGATCAGTCTGGCAAAAGAAAACTGCATGCAGTTCTGGTCACCCCGTCTCCAAAAAGATGGATTGGAATTGGAAAAGGTACAGAAAAGGGCAACAAAAATGATTAGGGGTATGGAACAGAGTCCATAGGAGGAGAGATTAAAAAGACTGGGACTTTTCAGCTTGGAAAAGATACGACTGAGAGGGGATATGATAGGGGCTTATAAAAACTTGATTGGTGTGGAAAAAATGAATGAGGAAGTGTTATTTACCCCTTCACTTAATGCAAGAACCAGGGGTCACCCAATGAAATGAATAGGCAGCAAGTTTAAACCAAACAAAAGAAAGTATTTCTTCACACAACGCACAGTCACCCATGGAACTTTTTGCCAGGGATGTTGTGAAGGCCAAAATCATAACAAAGTTCAAAAAAGAACTAGATACGTTCCTGGAGGTTAGGTCCATCAATGGCTATTAGCCAGGATGGGCAGGGATGCAACACCATGCTCTGAGTGTCCCTAGCCTCTGTTCAACAGAAATTGGAGTGGACGATAGGGATGGATCGCTCGCTGATTCCCTGTTGTGTTCATCCCCTCTGAAGCACCAGGGAGGGGCTAGTTGTTGAGTCGCCCACCGCCCCCCAGTGCTCGTCGGGCCCCCCGCAGATGCAGGCGGTGCCCTCCCCATGCTGAGCCCTGCTACAGCCCCACTCCCCACTGACAGCCCTGAGTAGAGACTGGCCCGGCTGGGCCAGCAAGTGGAACCCCGGTGCCCTCCAGGGGCTGCTCGATGGGGAGCCCGACATGCCCAGCCAAGGGGCGGCTCCTTTAGCTGGTACCGCAGGGGCTGGTGCTCGCAGCATCAGGGGTTCAATCCTGGGGTGCCGCTGTCAGGTCGGGAGCTGTTTGGGGGGGAGGCAGGGGTGTTTGGGGACAGGGAGGATTGTGCTGGCATCTCAGCCCCCCAAGGGGAAGGGGAAGCGGCTCGCCCCGGGGAGATTCTCTTCTCCGCATGGCTGAATCCAGGCTCCTGGAGGTTCAAAGAGATGGCGGGTTAGAGGGGCCTGTGTCGCCCTGGGCCCAGCCCCTGGGGGGAGCAAGGGGCACAGAAGGGGGGGGGTCACCGCACCCAGGGCGCCTC